TTAACATTTTTATAGCCTACACCACCCTGTGAAGACAGTGTTAAAAGCTTGTAACACCTCGAAATTAGGAACGTTCACGGAGAATACAACATGAAAAATAATTTTTCCTATACAAACAAATTAGAAAACTAAGGGGGTATGAGGGCCTCCTTATATAAATATAGGTCTAAGACTCAACATGTAGCTACGCATTTCGGACCCTGAGTAATCTGCAGCTCGTAATTATGGCCCGATCCACGCAAAACTTTGAATAGAATCAGGGTGAGGGTCACAATAAAGGCCTATAATTTTAACATTGACTTTTGTAAAAGCTTCCATTATCCTGAATGATGATCGAATAATATTTAGCTTATTGGATGCTGCGCACTATAATTCCAAATTTAGGAAGAATATTTTTTTGTAACTAACCTTGAAATAATTAAAAGAAGTGTTCGTTATACACCCAATACATCCTCTCTAAGAAAAGTCTGAATATCTCTATATCTATAAAAGAGGAAAATGTTTGTGTGTTTGTTTGTTTGTAATTTATGGACTCGAAAACCGCTGAACAGATTTTTCTGAAAATTTGCATGTATACTGCAACATCGCCTGAAAGTAACATAGGCTATATGCATTTTTGAAATTCCACTTGGAAGTGGAGAATTAGCATCAGAATCGGAGGTACCTCCCAAAAATTTAGATATTGTATGCACATATCTATTGATCGTCTCCAAATTTGGAATTCGTAACGGAATTTGGAACAAAAATAAATTTGCCAAATTATATTGAAATCGGTTCAGATTTGGATATAGCTCCCATATAGAATTTCGGCCGATTTCAAGCATTTGATTTACCAAACACGCTATGTATCCCAAATTTCAATGAAATTTGAAACGTGTGATGGATTTTATCTAAAAAATTGATTTCCCAAATTATATTCAAATCGGTTCAGATTTGGATATAGCTCCCATATACATTTTCGGCCGATTTCATGTATTTGGTGCACCAAACATGAAATTTGGAATGTGTAATGAAATTTTAAACGAACATACTTCTTCCAAATAATATTGAAATCTGTTCAGATTTAGATATAGCTCCTATATATATTTTCAACCGATTTTGTTTATTTGATGCACCAAACACGATATGTATGTTCGATTTTAATGAAATTTGGAATGTGTGACGGGATTTAATCAAAAATAATATTGTCAAACTATATTTAAATCGTTTCAGATTTGGATATAGCTCCCATATTTATTTTCTGTCGATTATACATATTTGATGCACCCAACGCGATGTGTATGTCCGATTCCAATAAAATGCAGACAGACAGACGAAATTTGGTACAAAAAAAAAATTGCCAAATTACATTAAAATCGGTTGAGCTTTGGGTATAGCTCCTATTTAATTATGTGTAAAAGTAAATTTTGTCAAATTATATTGAAATCGGTTCGGATTGGATATGATTTTATTAAGAGGCCTTTTAATGGTATTAAGCTAACAGTAAAAAGTTGCACAACAATTTAATTGAGGATACGATTGTTATTTTTGCCCTCCGCAGCCGTAAAATGCACAGAAATAGATTTGCTAAATTTTGTCGAGATCGGTTCAGATTTGGATATAGCTCCCATATATAACGTCGTCCGATTTACCTTTTATTGTGCACCAAACGTCTAATATTTGCCCAAATGGGATGGAATTTGGCATTTACGACCGAGTTGAGTATAGAAGATAGTATGTCAAATTTGGTGACGATCAGTTCAGATATAGCTATAGCTCCCATATATACTGTTCATCCGATTTGTTATATTTGTTTCCCACAGCCGTAATATGCACTCCGTAACAGCGTTATTCAGGGAAATATATCAAATACATCTTAGAAATATCTTTGCCAAATTTTATCGAGATCAAGATTTTATAGCTCCCATATATATCTTTAACCGATTTCAAATTAATTGTGCATCAAATGGACAACACAAGTCCGAATTTAAAAGATACAAATGCTTCGGCATATTTAGTCTTTTGAATGTTAAATTATAATTATAATCCACGCTATGATTGAATTCTCCCAAAAAAAACTTTTAATTGTTATGCGGAGCTCTACTAAATTAGCAAAGTGGTGTAGGGTATCATAAAGTCAACCCTGCCCGATTAAAGACTTTCTTTACTGGTTTTATACATATAGATTTGAAGAAATAGGCGTGTCCAGTTTCTCTGGCTCTAAATAGATACATAGCTTTTTAGGGAGAGTCAACAGTACCACGTACACCAACTTTGAAGGAGGTATCTTCATTATTTTGCAAATATAAAAATTTAAGTAAATCGAAAAATGGGCGTAAAAGTGGGCGTGTTCAATTTTTCTTTACATAAAACCCTATCTCGGGGTATGACGAACGTTTGTAAAAAAAAAGATTATGCAAATCTGTCCTGCCGTTTTCAGCTAGATTGTCTCATTATTTATCATATTTTGCGACTTGTGTAACATAAAATATTAACTCTTTGCAGTCCAGAAAGATTTACAGACTTGTATATTTATATTTCGATGACAAAATATAAAAACTTTGTTTTTCAATAGAATTCAAGTCGATCCGTAGTCGACCGCCTCCGTAGCCGAGCAGGAAACATTAAGAATTTGGCTTTAGAGTCGCAGTTGGAGTCTGGCTAGGACCTTCATAATACCTGAAGTCGGTGGGAACTGCTTTATGTACCTATATAAAAAACATTTCCACTACGAACTGAAAACCTGGTCATTTACAGCGACATTGGTAGCAAGTTTTTGGTTGTTTCCCTAAAACTTCTCTTCACTTTGTTCCTCAGATTTTTCGGCAACATACTTCACCATGCAGAGAATTAACGTTGTAAATTGTTTATTGCGTCCATCCCTTCCGTTGCGTGACACTGTGCCGTACATCCTTCTACTGAGTGCCGATTTCGGGCAAACAGTCATAACAAAAGAAATATTGATGCTATTTGGCTAATGTTGTCTTCGAAATGCCAACGCGATATCATACCGAGTTGGTTATAAGGTTTTATCGATTCTTTTATTGCAAATGAATTCTTGGTGGATTTACTTCAATTCCAAAGCAATAAAATTCAATTCAATCGAATGTCGAACATATTTGATTTTATTACCGATTCTCTTGTCTTGTGGTGGCCTCTGTGAGTTAGGCTCATCTATCTATCTATCTGGCTGGCTGCCTGCCTTTTGATTGCTGTGTCGAAGAGATAAACTAAAATGCAGGACTAACCGAATTCTGGTTCCTGGTAAAATTCCACATAGATTGCATTTACCAATCCCAATATGAAAAACGTGTCACACACACACACAATAACAGACAGGAGACTTAGTTGCACATTCGTTGAAATTATTAATAGATTGCCGGTATGTAAGTATGTAATTGTGCTAATTGCCCTCAATTTGTTGCAGAGTTGCGTTTGCCACCTAAACCAACCACAACGCCGACGCCTTATGTGCATACAACGCCCAAACCTCGGCGTAAGCAGCCGTCAAATATGAACAAAGGTCTTAACGAGGTGGTGCGGGCCAAGGAGACGCACTTCACAAATCAAATGCAGGAGAACGAAATACTCGGTGGGAACAGTGCACACGGAGTCAACATCATCAATGGCATTGTTGTGGGAACCGGCAACAGCATCAATGTCGCAAATGGCTTGTCTAACGGAGCGGAAGGTAAGTTACGATTGAATAAATTCCTTAAATACTCTCACACACACATCCAAACCACACAAATTAGACAAGTCGGGCGTGATGTAATTTCCCCCAGGAACGGCAATTCCCCGTCATTCACATCTTAAGAAGCACGCTATGATGTCAGTAGAAATGGTGGTGGGGATTGATTTTCAACATTGCTTAGTACTGAATGGCTAAAAAAACGGAAAGATGGTTAGATACGGTTCCATTGGACAGCTGTGTATGTATGTCATGATGCCGTGGTGGGTACTAGCCTTCTCTCTCTCCCAAATGACAGCGATGTCCCACGTTGCACGAATTCAAAAAAGTCTATATTCCAAATGTTTCTGCTTTGCTTTGTTTACACACATGCAGTGTTGCCAGTATTATTATGTCTCTCGTCCCCAAAATCCAAAAACAATTTCCCCAAATCTCCTCAAATTTGATTCAATTTCCTCAAAAAAAAAATCCCCAAGCTTTTAACAAAAAACGAACAGAATAAATTTATTTGAAAAATATTTGTACATAGAATTCAATTCATAGACTAGTTTATCGTGCATATTATACATGTAAAATTACATAAAAATAAAAAATAACAAATAAATAGAACATTTTAATTTCAGAGTTGCAATACATTCCTAAGAATAATTTATATATCATTGAAACTAACCACTTCAAAAACTTCAAATTCCAAATCGTCAGCATTTTCAGTCTCATTTGGTTTATATAAATTCTTATAATTAAAAAGCTTTAACATTTCTTTGGTAGGCTCAAAATTTTTGCAGCAAATGGAATTATTTGAAAATTGAGTATTTATTCTCAAAAGAGCTTCCAACAAATCATACTGCATTTTATTTCTAAATTTGGTTTTCACTGAGTTCATAACTGAAAAAACTCGTTCTACGCATACATTGCTGGTTGGCACAGAAAGCATATTTAAGACAATTTCTGCTAGCTCTTGGAATGGCATTGAACCTGATGCGTCTGTGTACGAATATACGCTGGTCCAAAATATATTTAGACTATTAGCTACTCCTTCTCCAAATAATTCTTTCCATTTTATGAAAGGCAATTTCCTCTATTGCGATTCATAAAGATTCATGGAGGTTTTTGAGTTCACAACCGGTTGCAAAACAGTTCTTATAGAATTGAAATTGGATTGAATCACTGTATTGCAACATACATTTGGAAAAAAAATTTATAGGTCTTAAAAAACTGCATGTTTGAAGGCAAACGTTTAAAAAATTTTTTAGCAAACGTCTGATACATTGAAAACATACATTTTTTACTTTAGTAGTCAATGATTCTGCAAGACATTTTAAACCCTTTTCAAAATCATACCCTAAATCCATTGATTCTAATGGTAAATATGATGAATCATCATATATAACTTCCAGTATTCTATCAACGTCATATTCCTCCTTCACAGTTTCAATTGCCCATAGTTCTAAAATTTGTGTGCACAACAAAAAAATGCATAGAAGTAATTTGTCATATGCCGTTCCAGGATCCATTTTGTCATTTTGAAATGAAACATTAACATTAATAATACATAAAAATCAAATACAACTTTATCTTGTCATTACCCATAAGTTCATTTATCATTTTGCTGTCAATTCCCCCTCAGTGGTTGAAATAATTGAAAAATGGTACTTTAATTCTATCCATTGATGTAAAACACATTCTATAGCCGAACCACAAGACAACCATCCTGCAATTTTTACCAGCTTCCTAACTTTGATTACGTCACAACCCGTATTTATTAGGTCAAAGGCACGTTTGTTCTTTATAATGCGCAAAGTGCTATTGCTGAAGTAGTTGTATAGCTCTTTTATTAAATATTGTACTTCGCCTGGAAAAATTTTCGAAGCATGGGAACAACACAAATGCAAGGAATGGCAAATACATTTTACCAGAATCAATTGTGGATATGATAATTTCATTAATCCATATACACCTTTGCGAGTACCACATAAATTGTTGGCACTATCTGTGCCAGTAGCTAATATGTTTTTCTGGTTTAATCCAACTTTATCAATATATGCAAGCAAACCCTCCAATAAATACGCTTTATTATTGCACTGCACTTTGTTCTGTGCAACTTCAATTTTTCGAACTCTTTAATGGATAGTGTTTTTAACATCTCTGTTAGATGATCAATGCTTGAAATAGAAGTATGAGTCGCTGCGAAAATTGCCAGTTTTATGTCTATTATTTTATCTTCGGGTTTGTCACAAACGATACCTGAAATTGGATTCCTTTTTTAATTCGTTGAACACTTAATTGATAGTAGTAAGATCTTACCATAAGTATGCAAAGTATTTTTTGCAAAAAGTGAAGCAAATTTGGTTTTATGTTTCGTTGATTCACTATGTTTTTTTTAATTTTTTTTTTTTTTTTTTGAGAATAAAGTGCACACCACGGTAAATCTGTCGAACTGTCATTGGCTTCACGAAAGGCCTATGGGGCAAAATTTATAGGTTTAAGCCAACCTATGAAAATAATCAAATTAACAAATGGAGAAATGGCTTAATCAAATCCACTGTCTTACCATGAGTCCAATCTTCCCGTTCCCAGTCTGAATTGTGTCTTCTTTTATTTGATTTTTTTTCCTTTGACATTGTGTTGCGCTTCCTAACGCATTTGATATTGTTATTTTAAGTTCACCTTCTATGTAAAACAATCATGCAACTTTTAGCATTTTCAATGCAAATATCAATGTAACTGTTCTACAAATATACCTTTTTTGACATCACTGCAACCGAGTCTCTTTTTCCAAATCGCAATGTGTATGTGTCATAGGCAAATAAGAGATAACTAGATAGCAAATCCATTCTTATAACAACAACTTTATCTGGTTAGTGGGGAACGTATTTTATTGATGCGTTACGCATGTGTAACATAAATTTAAATATCAAAATAAGTAAGGTAGTTAGAATTTTGTTGCAAAAAAAAATCCTCACAAATTCCGCAATATTTTTAAAAAAAGTCTCCACTAAATCCTTCAGTCCCCAACTTGAATTTTTCGTCCCCAATTTGAAAAATATATCACCTTTTTGGGGAAAATTCTCAATACTGGCAACACTGCACACAAGATATATGACGTCTATTCGAACGACTTGTGCACGACCATGTTCGTACATACCACAATACATGTTGCATATGTGGTATGACTACAACTTCAATTCAGTAATTCGTTCGTTAACACGCTTCAGGTCGCTACTAAGTTTGGATTATTACAAAATTTTACTGTCCAAGAGTGGAGAAAATTATGTCATTCTTCTTCTTATCTATGAAAAAGGAAATTTTTTGCACGTTTGATTGTTTGGTTCTTTGTAAATTTGTAGACTCAAAAACTGCTGAAGAGATTTTCTAAATATACTATAGCATAGCCTGAAACTAACATAGTCTATATAATAGATTTGGATTTAGCTCCCATATATATCTTCCGCCGATTTCACATATCTGATGCACCAAACACGATATGTATGTTCGATTCCAAAGAAATTCGGAATAAGAAACGGAATATGGTATAAAAAAACAAAAAAATGCCAAACTCTATTAGTGAATTCGAGATAGCAACATACTTCGCCGTAATAAGCGTATTTCAAATAAATTGTTGTGTTGTTTTTTAGTGTTAGCCTAAGGCGTTGTGGGTCAATGGTTCTGCCAGATTTTGTCTCTCTCGCTTTGAGTGCATCAAATATGTGAAATCGGCTGAGTATATATATGGGAGCTATAATCACATCTGAGCGCATTTGAATATAATTTGTCAAATTTATTTTTGTACCAAATTTAGCCACTCATGCCGAATTTCGTTGGAATCGGAAATACGTATCGTGTTTTGTGCATCAAATATGTGAAATCGGCGGAAAATATATATGGGAGCTATATCCAAATCTGAACCGATTTTAATATAATTTGACAAATTCATTTTGGCTCCCAATTCCGTTACTTATTTTAAATTTCATTACAATTGGAAATATATGTCGTGTTTGGTCCACCAAATACATGAAATCGGCCGAAAATGTATATGGGAGCTATATCCAAATCTGAACCGATTTCAATATAATTTGGGAAATCAATTTTTTAGATAAAATTTATCACACGTTTCAAATTTCATTGAAATTGGGAATACATAGCGTGTTTGGTGCATCAAATGCTTGAAATCGGCCGAAAATATATATGGGAGCTATATCCAAATCGGAACCGATTTCAATATAATTTGACAAATTTATTTTCGGATTAAATCCCGTCACACATTCCAAATTTCATTGGAATCGAACATTCATATTGTGTTTGAGGCATCAAATGAACGAAATCGGTCGAAAATATATATGGGAGCTATATCCAAATCTGAACCGATTACAATAATTTGGCAAACTTATTTTTGTTCCAAATTCCGTTACGTATTTCAAATTTGGAGACTGTATCTTCAACCAATCAATAGATATGCGCATATAAAATCTAAATTTTTGGGAGGTACCTCCGATTCTGATGGTATATCTCCAGTTCCAAGTGGAAATTAAAAAATTTATATAGCCTATGTTACTTTCAGGCGGTGTTGCAGTATATATGGAAATTTTCAGTAAAATCTATTCAGCGATTTTCGAGTCCATAAATTACAAACAAACAAACATACAAACATTTTCCTCTTTTATATATATATATATATATATATATATATATATATATATATATATCAGTAAAATCTATTCAGCGATTTTCGAGTCCATAAATTACAAACAAACAAACATACAAACATTTTCCTCTTTTATATATATATATATATATATATATATATATATATATATATATATATATATATATATATATATATATATATATATATATATATATATATATATATATATATATATATATATATATAAAAGAGGAAAATGTTTGTATGTGTGTTTGTAATTTATGGACCCGAAAACCGCTGAATAGATTTTCCTGAAAATTTCCATATATACTGCAACATCGCCTGAAAGTAACATAGGCTATATAAATTTTTGAATTTCCACTTGGAACTGGAGATATAGCATCAGAATCGGAGGTACCTCCCAAAAATTTAGATTTTATATGCACATATCTACTGATTGGTTAAAGATACAGTCTCCAAATTTGGAATACGTAACGGAATTTGGAACAAAAATAAGTTTGCAAATTATATTGTAATCGGTTCAGATTTGGATATAGCTCCCATATATATTTTCGACCGATTTCGTTCATTTGATGCCTCAAACACAATATGAATGTTCGATTTCAATGAAATTTGGAATGTGTGACGGGATTTGATCCGAAAATAAATTTGTTAAATTATATTGAAATCGGTTCAGATTTGGATATGGCTCCCATATAAATTTTCGGCCGATTTCATGTATTTGGTGACCAAACACGATGTGTATTTCGAATTGTAATGAAATTTAAAATAAGTAACGGAATAGGGAGCAAAAATGAATTTGTCAAATTAAATTGAAATCGGTTCAGATTTGGATATAGCTCCCATATATATTTTCGACCGATTTCATGTATTTGATGCACCAAACATGCTATGTATCTCTAATTTCAACGAAATTTGGAATGTGTAGCGGAAATTAAAACAAATATTCATTTGTCACATTATATTAAAATCGATTCAGATTTGGATATAGCTCTCATATATATTTTCCACCGATTTCATGTATTTTATGCACCATACACGATGTGTATGTTCGATTCCAAAGAAATTTGGAATATGTAACGGGGTTTTGATTTGAAAATAAATTAGTCAAATTATATTAAAATCGGTTCAGATTTGGATATAGCTATTTTCCGCCGATTTCACATATTTGATGCACAAAACACGATACGTATTTCCGATTCCAATGAAATTCGGCATGAGTGGCTATATTTGGTGCAAAAATAAATTTGACAAATTATATTCAAATACGCTCAGATTTGATTATAGTTCCCATATATATATACTCAGCCGATTTCACATATTTGATGCACCCAAAGCGAGAGAGACAAAATCTGACACCAGAAAAAATTGCCAAATTATATTGAAATCAGTTGAGGGTTTCGGCCGATTTCATACATGTTATGCACCAAACATGATATATATGACCGATACCAATGAAATTCAGAATGTGTGGCGGAATTTGGTTACAATAATAAATGTGACAAATTAATTGGAAATTAGTTAAGATTTGGATATAGCTCCCATATATATATTCTGGGCCGATTTCACATATTTGACGCACCAATTTCAATGAAATATAAAAGGTGTGGCGGAATTTGATGTAAAAGTATTTTTTTTAAATTATATTTAAATCGGATCAGATTGGGATATGATTTTAATATGAACCATTGACCCACAACGCCTTAGGCTATTACTAAAAAAACAACACAGCAATTAATTTGAAATACGCTTATTACGGCGAAGTATGTTGCTATCTCGAATTCACTAATTGCAATAGAAATGGCACTCAACTTTAAAAGATTGCAGTTTACTGCACGCTTGGTATTTGCTATGAAATAAATAAATCCGAAGGACAACCCCTTGGTGTATGTATGTCATGTTACTGCTTTTCTAATGGTTTTGGTTATTTACGCATTAAAGTAGTGCAATATTTTTTTTTTTTTAATTTTTTTTGTTTTTGTTTGTTTTGTTTGTTTTCACGTAACTGGTGATTTATAGTGTTCGATTTCGATTCGAAAATGTAATCAGAACCCACGAAATAGGTAAAATCAGGAGGTACTTTTATATGGGTGCTTCTCCGAACTGGTCTTCTACATCCTTAGAAGCTAAGACGCCAAATAAAGGTAAAATCAATTGAAAAATATTACCAAGACACTAGAAACAGCTGAAATCAGCGGATATCTTCATATAAGGGTTATACCTATTCTTATAATTATTTGAAAGAATGTGTTGTTCTTTCTAAAATCTCAAATTAACATTTAAGGAATTTGAAAGGGGCTATATCACAATGTAGACGGACCTGATACTTCTATATATATAACAAGTAAAAAAGCAGTAAGTTTGGCCGGGCCGAACTTTGAATACCCTCCACCATTTGGAACGAATTAGAAAATTTTCAAAAAAAAAAAAAAAATAAATAAATAAATAAATAAAATCCATTAAAACTTATTTTAAAATCTTTAAAATATCTAATATAGGAAGGTGCCGATATGGGAGGATATACGATATTGTGGACCTATAACGACAAATCTATGTCTGCGTGTAAAGTACTCACAAGGAACTCCTTGTGTGGATTTTCAAAATACCGAATATCGCGGGGTACGGTTATATGGGAGCTATACGTTATAGTTAACCTATATAGAGAATTCTCTGTCGGGGGGTAAAGTGCTCACAAAGAACCCCTTGTGTACAAAGTACCCCTTGTGAACATTCCGTTGAAAAATATGGCTAAAAACATCAAAATACCGAATATAGGGGGTACCGTTATACGAGGGCTATACGATGTCGTGGACCTATATAGATAATTCTCTGCCGAGGTATAAAGTACCCACAAGGAACTCCTTGTGTGGATTTTCAGACAATTCCGATGAAAAATGTGGGTAAAATCATAAAAATATCGAATATCGTGGGGTACCGTTATATGGCGGATATACGATATCGTGGACCTGTATAGACAATTCTCTCTCAGGGAGTGAAGTACTCACAAGGAAC